CTATTTGCTTAATCAACTTAGATAGAATTAGTTTTAATTTGTCGTTCCCTATGTTCGATACCCTACTTATTTAGCTATACCACAATTGATAGGTTCACTGCCTTTTGTGTGTTATTTGATAATTAAAGTAGGATTAAAACTAAGTGAGTTTTACACACATCACAAGTGAAATTTAAGTTAGTGAGATATTTAGCCTTAGTGATCTAAGCGAATGTTGTAGAGTTCTTTAAACCGAGAGCGTGCACAAAAAGAACGCCTAAATCTGACTTCATATGAGGAAGTTATGATTTTTCGAAGTTTCGACTTAACGATATGCAGCCCGAATACTCGAAATAGAGATCGAGTGATATTTAGCCAAAAATTTCTAAATGAGAATTGAAGATCTCATTGATAGTAGTCCACCGATAAAAAACAGACGAAAACGGAGTTCAGATGAAGGAGTTATGAATTTTGAACAGAGTTTTCCTGTTCCGGCCTACTAAAAATACTATATAAGTAATATACTTATAATATATTAAAAATCAATTCAAAATTAGCCAATGGAGTCTAAACGAGAGTTGTATAGCATAATCTCACCTTCGGGTCGATATAAAGAACGTCGAAAACGGAGTTCGTATGCCAAAGTTATGAATTTCTGAAGTTCGGGGTGCGAAACCCCAAAACTGTCAGATACCACGACGTGACAAGTCTTCTGACACCTCCGGGAGTCCCCTAGATGCAACTTGCAATGACGTATGCAGTGACGACCAAGCCCACGACGTGGAAAAAGGGTGTCACGACGTGGCAAGGGCCAAATTTTCCATATAAATAGATTTGAAGGGCCAGCCATTTAGGGTTGCTATTTTCTCTCATCTCTCTCCCGTTTTACCTTGATTTACGTGCAATAAATATCCCGAACCTCGAAGATCCCTAGAAGTGCGATTCCCGAGCGGAACTCTGCCCGCGAGAAGTTTGATTTTTGTGAAGATCTTCCAGATCTGCTGAGGATTACTACTACTGTAAGCCGTAGTGCTGTCCGATCATCTTCTGATCAAGTGAGTGTGTAGTTATTTTATTCCAATACAATACGTGCTATGTGCATATATTTTGTTGTTATATGTGTGAATGTATATCCACTCTTTTCTATTTCATAGATCTGATTTATTCTCTATGAAATACGTGTTATGTGTGTGCCTCATTTGTTATGTGGAATATGTATTGATTAAAGTATGCTATACAGGTTTTTAAACTATGTATAAAAATGTATATTTTTATCTACTAATATGGTGGGTAGAACATGGGTATATAGTTGGTGTGTAATAAACAGATGAGAGGCCTCGTTGTTGTTTTGATTCAGTCATCTAGCGGAGTTTAGATGACGACCACGTACTTTTCTAGATAGTCTTATGGAATACTAGCAGGCTCGCCACCTGTAGGTGTTAATGAACTTGGGTGTTCATTCGTTGTACTCCATCCCCCTCATGGTTGCCTTATTTGACTTATATTGATGAGGAACCCCCGAAGCATGTGTTGTCGTCCCGATGAAATATTCTTAGACTAGGTCCCTTATGTTAGTTGTCTTAGGGATGTAAAGTGTGAATAACGGTAATGAGTAATTGGGTTATTGTTGGTTGGTGGAATTAAATATAATTATTTATTGTGGGTTGAAAACCCTATATACTCACCAGGCTTCCAAGCCTGACCCACTCAGTTTCTTTGTATTACAGGTAGTGGCGCCAGAGCATAAGTTGGATGACTTGTCAAGTTATTTTTGGATTATAGATCTGTTGTTGTAAATAACTGTTGTAAGGTCTATATTTAAATGTGTATGATTTTGGTCTGTTTATCGGAACATGACATCCCGAGTATTGTAATATAATGAAAAATACATTTCTTTAAGAAATGCTTTGGTAAATCTTATTTTATCATACTTTGTTTTTGGGAATAAATTCTGCAACTATTTCAAATCAAAAGGATTTACTTTGAAATTATTTTAAAAGCATAAATGAAAATCGGTCTTTTCTGACCGAGATTTTGGGGATGTCACAATAAATATATATATATATATATATATATATATATATATATATATATATATATATATATATATATATATATATATATATATATATATATATATATATATATAGTTGGTTGTTAAAAAATAAGGAGGCCATGGCTACCGTTGGACTCTTTTTAGTTCGCCACTAGGCTCGTTAGTTATGGGATTAAAATGACTGTAACAATCGGGTTAGGTTGTAGAACCAAATCTGCTTCAAAAATTATGAAAAAGGGTAGTTATGTAAAGTCTAATTAAATGCAAGGTTCAAGCCCACTCCGTTTTCCTTTATGCATCTTGTAATATGTATTATTTATATAATTGTGAGCTTGTGTTCAAAGAAACAACACTATAAGGTCGGACGGAGCGGGTGAGGGCGACACTAGCGGGTAGCTTCCCGCCCGGCGGAACACCGCATCATCGGTGCGGGAAAGCCTTGTGCGGAAAACGGAGAGGGGAGCCTCTCTCTCTCTCTCTCTCTCTCTCTCTCTCGGTGCGATTGGCCGACAATTTTTTTTTTTTTTGAAAAACAACCGTTAATCAACGGTAAAAAATGTAATTTTTTTTGCTATAACGACTCTTTTTTTTTTTTTTTTTTTTTTTAAATCCTTTTTCCACTCCTATAAATAGATACATATAACATCAAACATCACATTACCCTCTATTCCCTCTACTTTATATCAACAAAAAAAATGAATCCCGACAATCAAATCCCAACTCCAATCGAAGGAAAAAAAGTCATGGTTCGAATATAAACATCCATCCTCGCAATATTTTTGCTATTGATTCATCCCCGCAAGGAGTTTACCGCCCCTAACTTGATGCTCTCATTCAATCCCCACTACAATTCCAATACCAAAATGTTGGCCAATATTACCCGATGCAAGTTCAAAATGTTCCGTCGCAAATGTTTTCAAACTTTGTTGTGTTTCCGGATCAACAATCGTCAAATCAACCTCAACCCCAAACTCAAACCCAAACCCAACAACAACACCAACTTGTCGATGAATCGGATGACGCGGAAGAAGAAGATATGGTTCCCGAAACTCAAGCAACACTACCACCACAAAGACGTAAAGGGAAAAAACAAGTGCGCGAGGGTGTCGAACAACCGGGAAGACAAAAACCAACAACATAGGTTCCAAACGAAGAGCTAGTTTTGGTCAAAGTTTGGGTTAATATTTCTAAAGATTCGATTCAGGGAAACGCACAATCGGGAGAACATTTTTGTTTTATCATTTTAGAACGATTTCGAGAGGAGCTAGGAAAATGTGACGACTACCGTACGAAACATCAACTTAATTCGAAGTTTCGAGAAATAGCAAAGGGGGTTTCAAAAATTAACGGGTTGTACAACAACGTAAAAACCCAACGAAAAAGCAGCCAAGGCGACGAAGAAATACTTCAAGAAGTGTTGCAGTTTTACCTTGAGGAAGTCGGAAAACCATTCAAGTGGCACGATTGTTGGAAATTATTGGTCCGAAGTCCTAGGTGGAAAAAATACGAGCAAGATTTTATTTTTAGGCAAATACCTCCTGATCTTGTGTATGCCTCTTGCTAGTTGATGCTAGATCTTGTGTTTGATCCAGAGGAGATAAAACATGAGTATATGACCTTTAAAATTTTAGTTTCGTTTTTTTTTTAACAGGTTGAACTTAAAATCAGTGGTTCAGTTATTGTTATTTGAAATTGATTATGGTTCGGTTTTTTGGTCTAAATGCTCATTCTTAATTTTTTTTTTCTTTTTATTTTATATTAACTTGTTAATAGATAAACAAATATGATTGTTTTTTTTAATCGTTTTTTATATAAAATTTTTTTTACTTGCAGAAACTTATTCTTACGAATTTTGTTGATCAAAACGAGCATCCATTATTTATCAGAAATTACAAAAAAATACAAATTCACACGAACGAATGGCATTTTCGTGGAATTAGTGATAATAAATTAATAGATAAATAAATATAGTTTTTTTTTTCTTTTAATCTTTTTTATATAAAATTGTTTACTTGCATAAACTTATTCTTGCGAATTTTGTTGATCTAAACGAACGATTATCATTTTTCAAAAAAAATAAATAAATAAAAAATTAAAAGTTCATACGAACGACATGGCCTTTTCGTGGAATTACTGATTTTTTTAATCCTGAAAAAAGATAGTTATCTTAAACTATAAACTCTCTATCTAATGTACTAATGGTTGTGGTGGGGCAGTTAGTGGTGGCTTAACTAGGTTATGCGATCTACCATAGTAGTCAACAATTGTGGCTAAGTGAAGGCTTGAGTTTTAATGCAAGGTGAAGGCGACGTATAGTCCTTCTCCTTCCTAATATGGATATTAGGTTAGGGGTTAGGAGGGCGAAATTTTTTCTAATACAAGACGAAGGGTATACAAGATGATATTCAAAGTGATGGTGGGAGAAGATCCATAATGTTTAAATTTTTTTAGTTTGGATACCATAAACAATATTGAGAATAATTTGGTTGTTTTCGCATTGATTAATAACCAACCATGTATTATAGATACTTCCTAGGGTAAAACAAGACTTATAGAATAAGTACTGCACTAATTATTGATTTTATGTAATATCTATAGATTACAAATTTAAGTAAGTTTAATAAATAACAATAATAATTTTAAGACATAAAATTAAATGTAAATATTAAATATTCACATATTAAACTTAAATAAAAAGTTTAATGAAAATAACAATCACTTGATAATGTGCATATTTTTTTTTTTGTTAATACCATCTAGATAGATAATAATAACTAAAAGGTTAATTGGTAGTTAAAAAAATTAGCTAATACTAAAAAATAATGTTAGATAGATAATAATAACTAAAAGGTTAATTGGTAGTTAAAAAAATTAGCTAATACTAAAAAATAATGTTTGAAAAATAGAAGGATATTTAATTTCTCTTTTTATATATTTCCTCTTAATTTTATTCGACCCGGCTTATATCCGCTCCAAAGTCCCACTCTCACCCACTTTCTACTTGTCAAAGAACCCAAACACTCCAAAGTACAAACACCAACACTCTCGGTATCTCCGTCTTCCTTCACTCCAACCACCGAACTACCTCCGCTGTCTGCAGCTCCTCCACATCGTTATTCTCGCCTTCCTCCACCTCAAATACCCATAAATCCAAAACCACACTCGTTTATCATTTCTGTTATCATCCCTCTAGATGGCTTCCTCAGCTCTTGCTCATTCACTCATCTCTCCACACAATTCTCATTCCCCGATCTCTAACCGAACCCCTAAAACCCTCTCTGTATCTTCCTTCAATGGGTTTTCTATCCCAAGGATCTCCAGATCCCCTCTGGTATCTAACCAATCGAAGACAACCCACACCAGTTTAATCGCCAACTGTGCTTCAACTGCTAGTGATAGCTCAAAAGATGAAACCCCAATTGAACTCAGTAAGCCGTTTTTCCTTTTCAAATTATAAAAACCATGTTTTCATTTCACAGATTTTCTCTCTAACGTCTCCAATCGTTTCAGGGTTCCCTGCATTTCCCACTGTTGTTGATATCAATCAGATTCGTGAGATTTTGCCACACCGGTTTGTACTTTTACTTGACGTATTTCATTGAATTGTTTGATTTCTGATCTGGGTTTCGTTTGTTTGCTTGTGCAAAACTAAGTCCTGCTTTAGTTTGCTTGTAGAAATTTTGATGCATTGATTTCTCTTGGGTTTTGTTTGGTTGTTGCAGATTTCCATTTCTTTTGGTGGACAGGGTGATTGAGTACAATCCAGGAGTTTCAGCCGTTGGCATCAAGAATGTGACCATCAATGACAACTTTTTCCCTGGCCATTTTCCTGATAGACCAATTATGCCTGGTGTTCTTATGGTTGAGGTACATCCTTAAAAATCTTGTTCACGTTTGCTGTTATATGTGTAGTCTATATATGTTTTCAGGGTGTTCAGATTAAAATCCAAGTCTTTTTTTGAAAGTCTTGTGTGAATATTGTGCTTTTGAACTCATAATTCATATGGTGTCTTGCCATTTTTCTGTAAAAATTATTGCTTTGGTACTTTTTGGGTGATTTTAATAAGCTTTTAAATTAAAGAAAAACAAAGAGGTAAAAGAGTACTGCTTTGCATTGTAATTAAAGATTTAAAGGTCTGCTTATAATCACTATCTGAATACTGAATCCATCAAGAAGATCGACACTTTATGTTTTGGATAAAACCTAGCATCCCCTAAATGCAAATATGCAATGTTCGATTAAGCACTTAATTTAGTGAAAATATTTTATTTTTAGTTAAACATCTTAAATATCTGAAATGTTATAGACCTTATCATCTGCAAGATTCATCTATTTTTGAGGGGTACTTCAGATATTTGACTAGTAGCCAAACACTTCATTAGACATGGAATTTGTAAGCATTTTAGCAAGGAACCAATGATATTATACAATAAAGATTAGTGAATTTTTTTTTTTTTTACTTAATGCGAAAGGAGGCTTTCCCATTATCTCCAAACATTTTACAAAATTTTCCTTATTCATTTTTCCCTTCCAATTTCCTCAATACGCCTCATTTTCTCAAATATCTTTCAAGCATATCATTTAAATGCAACAAACATCAATGTAAATTAATTAATTAATTAATTATATTACATCCTTGTACCTTGAAAAATCTATCCAATTATAGCAATGTCTATATATATATATAAAAGTACATTGCTATTTTTTGTAGGCAATGGCACAAGTTGGTGGTTTGGTAATGCTGCAACCGGAAGTGGGCGGCTCACGTGACAGTTTCTTCTTCGCCGGAATTGACAAGGTGAGGTTCAGAAAACCGGTGGTGGCCGGAGACACTTTGGTCATGAGAATGACACTCACAAAGCTTCAAAAACGCTTTGGAATTGCAAAGATGGATGGAAAGGCGTATGTGGGAGGTGAGGTGGTTTGTGAGGGTGAGTTCTTGATGGCTATGGGTAGCAGCGAGTGATGTTTTTTCTTTTATTGTAATATTTCGTAAGTCGAAATTTTGAATATTTTCGACTTTTGAGTTAATTTAAGTCCTTTTTTATTGCTTTAAGTAGAACTTGTATCAAGTAAATGAATCAATGAGGGTTCGTGTAATACCCTTTTCTTAAATGTTATCTTGATGTTTTCAAGGTTGAAATTGTATGGGAGATGATGCTTACATCCCGGTGTTTTGTTTCACATTGCTCCATCTTTTTTGGTAGGACAAAAAATTGATATATTTGTTCCACTAACTAATATATGTTAAATAAAGATGCATTTGCAACTATAAATAACATATGAACGATGAATTAAGGTTTGAGTTTGTTGGATATATCTAAATAAATAAATTTACATGTTACATAATAACACAACCATATTTTCCTTATAATCCAAGAGCACCAAGTGGAGTTTTTCCTTGGCCTGCCTCAAAGTAAAAAATCAACATTGCCACCATTGCAAGTCTTGCATGTTTAATTTCAGCCAATTTCAATCTATCAAGCTTCTCGGTATCCGGAATATAAACCCCATTATTAAGCGTACCCGCAAACGCTAACGGGTCGAAGAATTTACCACCCGGATAACCTTGTTCTCCTGTGAAGTTAGCAAAATTCTCAGCGGTTTTGGACCAAGGGGTGGCCCAGTCAACCGACTGTGATTCAGGGTTGAAAAAGTCGACCCATCTCTTGCTCTCCACCCAACCCATCAGCAGGAGTTGGGTCCCGAGAAGAGATCCGAAAGAAAATGGAGCGATCGCACCCGGGTCTGCTCCGGCTTCGAACCATGGGATGCCGCTCCATGCCTGACCCACAAAGATACCAAGAACCGCCGCCATGGCCCACCGCCCGTGGATAAGCTCCGCTTCCCGGTACCATTTTAGAAACGCCGGATCTTTTCCTAGTCCTAGCGGGTCGAACCCGTAGTCTCCCGGGAGCCTGTAGTCGAACGAAATTTAGTAAAAAATCGGTAAAAAAAGGAGAAGAAATAGGTGAATCACAGTTATGAATTCAGGACAGTATAAGTATTTGATCATATATAGAGAGGAAGAGAACTTACGAGCCATCGAGCCACTCGGGGTCGATCAAATTGCCGCCACCTTTAACGGCGGGGATCCAAGATTTCTTGGGAGCAACGGCGGCTGTGATGACTAACCGCCTAGGAGCCGCTGGCATGGTGGCGCCACTGGTGGGTGCAGGCAGCAGGGTCTGGCTCCTCTTTCCGCCAGACAAGAAGAGTGATCCTAATCCATTAAGGACAGCAGCAGTGGAGGCAGCTGCCATTGTTGCTGAGCAAATAAGGTGGCTGACGGTGGTGTTGGTGGTGACTGAGTGTGTTTGTGTGAGTGTGTGTTTTAGTGAATTGGGTATGAAATTATATGGGCATGTTGATATCAATAGGAAAGAAGTGAATGGTGCCAGGTAGGATGAACTGAAATCTTGGATAGATTTTTGGCCAATCAGATGAAAGGATGTTGATTTCCATCTGTACCCTCCATCCACTTGTATCATTATTCTTGTGGTTTCCAATTTAAGTTTTGCGTTCTCGAATCTACTTTTGTTCATGGGCTTGGTTTTGATGTTTGGGGTTGCAAGGATGTTTGGCTCATTTCAACCCAAAATTCATACTTATACATTGTGGTAATTAATGTAAAAAATAATTATTATTAAAGAGAAAAGATGATTTAATTTGTGTTAGTTTTACCTAACAGATGGCAGTGTTACGACAATTAATTTACTTAAAATGAGAAGAATCGTTTTTCTGCTTGCCAATCATGGATATGTAACATGTAAAGCGTACAGTATTGTGCTACAAGATATTTTGAAAAAGAAAACAAAAGAGAAAAAGGAGATTTTGTGTGTGTTCAACATGTAAATTTTGAGAGCTTCTACCTTTTAAGAAAAAAATTTCATTCGGCAGTAGGAAGGAGAGGTTAGCAACGATGTGTTTTCTATAAGTCATTTTTATACGGTTTATGTTTTAAAAGCTTCAAGGCTTCCAACTACTTTTGTTGAAAACTAATATACAAATGGAAGTTATAACTTCTAACTACTAACTAGTTTTTTCGAACACTCGTATACATATAAAAACTAAAACAAATTAATTTTGCCTTTAAAAGAAAAAAAAGGTTGGTAACAAAATAAATAAAGAAAAATAGACAAACCACCTACAACCATCTTTTTCTAAAAGGTTATATATATATATATATATATATATATATATATATATATATATATATATATATATATATATATATATATATATATATATTCAAATGTTTCTATAACTATTATGTATATTTATGGACCAATAAGAATTTAACAATAATTTAATCATTAAATTTATGAATAAGGGTAGCTTGGTCATTTTACTTTTACAAGCCAAAAATAAATCTTGTATATTTGAAAAATCATTAAATGAAATCTGCAATATTTTTATAGACCCTAAATGACGGCTTCCTCCAAATCGTCAGATGCCTCATTTCTTCTTTTCCATGAAAAATCAGTCGATCATCATCTTCATCCTCTCCATTCCCTTGTCGATTGTCTGGGTTTCTAGTTTATCAACCCTAAAAAACTACACACTCCTATTTCATTCAAAATCTTTACCAGAACCAAAAGAAGAAAATCCAATAAGTGAGTCAAAATCAAAAACAAGATTAGTCAAGTCAATAGGCTCAATCACTTCCCCAAGGAGCATACCCGAAATCTACAAAAAAAGGAGCACACCTTGACGAAATTTTCATTTTCAAATCTCAGGAATGCCACCGGTAACTTCAACAAGCTTTTAAAGATCGGAGAAGGTAGACTTGTGAGTGTTTACAAAGCAAGAATCAAACTTTCGGAAACATAAAATAGCTTCGTTGCCAAAGGCCCACACAACTTTACGGATTTAGTCTCCTTCTCGCGTCAGGCATCACGGACTCACGATGTTCAAAAAATTATGTTCTCCGTTAAAGTGTGTGACGAAGAAGACAGGGGATCAGTCTGAACACCGATCTATTGTTGTTAGCTGTTAACAACTAAAAATTAGCTTTCTGAAGGTAAGATCTTTATTTATTTTTCTGCTTAGTAATTGATGAGATTTGCTGCTAATGTTACGAACCCTATGAGGGAATATCGCGCTCCGGTACCCTATTTCTGGTTGAGTGTTTTTTTTTTTTTTTTTTTTTTCAAATAATTTACTTGATTGTTTGGAATTTATGCATAATTTAAGGGGAAGCGAAGGAACTATTGTGTCATTAGTTTTGCCCATAACCTATTTGTTAAATTGCCTAAGTGTATTTTGATTCCAGTTTTATTTATTTTGGTTCGCGACACGGGGATCTCTTGCCTTTATGCGTTAGTTAAGGGCACATTAAGCACGGATTCAAGATAGATGTTAAGCAGACATCACTACCACCATATCATCATATATACAAACTGCTAATACACATTGGTAGATTATCTGTGACTGCTAGATTATCTGTGACTTTTAGGGATAAAAACCCAACTAGTGTGACTGAAGTAACATATAAAATCAGTTATACTTTATACAAAATATTTTGATTTACTACTAGGTTTAACATGTTTTTTTGGAATGTTACTTAAAGTTTTCTTGGTGGCTATTACAATTGGCTAAAGTTTTATCATGACTTTTATTTTTCATGTTTATTTAGATGTTTCAAGATTTACCTATGGATTGTTTGCCACTATTGAGTTCATTTCCTTCTACATCTCCCCACATAAAGTAACTATTCTTACAGAATGTCATTCTCATAGAATGTCAACGTGTTTTGAAGTGGTTTAAGGGTCAAACATATACAAGACATCTAGAAACGAACCAAGAAGGTGAACGGAGATTCTTTCAAGAATGATGATATTTTTTTGCAACAAATTTTTAGAATGATAGAATACACTCGGTTATAATTTAAAATGATAATTGCACTTAAAGTTTAATGCACTTTAGGTTTACAACATTCTGCTATAATGGAATCTAGAACTCCATATCTATCATAACAGAATCCTGAATTCCAAGTCAACTTAAACAATGAATTACCAAACACACCACATAATGGACTCATGTAACCAATTCTGTCAGAATAGAATTGGTCTCCATTCTATTAGAACTTATTGTTTTATTCTATTTTAATGCACTAACATTTTTAATATTTGAAGGTTGATTATATCTTTTTTATGGATTTAGGTTTTTAAGAGGGTGCCATTGATGTGGAAAAGGAAGAAAATATGGAGAATAAGAGTGTATTCTAGTGGAATGTATTATGCTAGTATGTATAAAGTGATTATTAGCAATAATATTCTTTCAGAATTAATTAATGTTTTTGAACTTTTTTTCCCTTTTTAATCATTTTTAGTTTTAATCTTCAAGAATAAATATAATTCGTAACAATTATTAGTCATATATATATAGGAATGAGTTTTATGGAAAACAAATAACTAGGGCAACATCTACCGGAACCAATAATCAAATGACACGTAACCACTTGGGTTGTGGTGACTTGGTAAGGCATGTGGAAGATATGGTGGATAACCTATTGACCCATGTTCAAATCCTAGCACCACTCAGCCCTTGTGGCCATGGAGGTTCGCCTGCAGTGACTCCAGGGCATGAGGCAAAGCTTTATGTTTGCAGCGGGGGATTAGTCGGTGCACGAAAGCTGGCCTGGAAACCCTCGTTAGGGAAGTTCCCTTTCCAAAAAAAAATGACACGTGTCCATTTCTTTCTTCACAAGTAATGTATTGTGGAAGTTATTGTGGAAGTGATGTGTTGTCGTTTTTTCATTGGTTCAAATATGTGTTGCCCTAATTATTCATTTTCCATATAACTCTTCCCTATATATATATATATATATATATATATATATATATATATATATATATATATATATATATATATATATATATAATGAATGTAATTGTTGTTTACAGTCTTGTTCTGTGACAATTAATGTAATTATTAATTCTTAAAGAATAGAATATGTTTCATATAAAATCGTTTTTTTAGAAAATGTTATTCTTGATAATATATGTTGTATAAATCTTTAAGAATGTTAATTATCAAAAATATGTCGAATGAAATTTTGTAAAAATAAAATCGGTAATATCTTTACTAGTTTATGGTTTACATTTGGTCATTCTGAAAGAATAAATTCGATTATCATTCAAAATTAGGTTGAAATTAAAATTAAAGTAATTTAAAAAATTCAGATGTTTAAAATTAAGATAATTAATGATCCATTAAAATCTAAACATTTTCTTTTTTAAATATAGTAAATTATCCAAAATACCCTTATGATGAAATTTGTGTGATTATATGATACATGTTATCCTATTAGAATATCATAGACCCTCAAATCATAACCATTAATTATATTCATCCATTGGTCCATAATTGTCCTTATGGGAACATAGTAACACCTGTTCCAGGCATTCCTTAATTTATTTAAGATCTAGGGTCTTGGTGTATGGACTCGGCGAGTTGGGAGTCCGACTTGTCGAGTAGAGGACATTTCAAGGACAAGGGATCTACACCCTACTCGACGAGTTGGAAGGCCGACTCGACGAGTAGGCACTGTAATGATAAAACCCTAATTTTAGGGTTTTCACCCTATATAATCTCCTTAAAAGCCTTAAGGTTGACCTCCCATCAGCCTCCAACCCCTAAGAACGTCTGTGCTAACCCTAATCCACATTTTCCTCCATTTTGTGAGCTAGAGTGACCTTTGAAGCTTAAGAAGAAGGATATAGTGAGAAGATCCAGCAAACGAAGAACCCATCCTTGAGCTTGACCATCTTGTGGACTGCTGTAAATCTTCAAGACTTGATTTTTATCATAGAATATGGCTAGATCTTGAGTTTACTCTTCATTTCATACCCTTCTTGTTGATTGCATGCATGGTGTTCATAAAGTTTGCAACTCTATGAATCTTCGGGGCAAAATGGTCCCAAGTTGGGCTGATTTGGCCTTCGGTCGAGCAAGGACACCATGCATGGGGTTTTAGGGCATATTTCCCTCTTTTTAGCCATTTTGACCTAGGGACATGAATTGGACATGCATGTCCATAAAGCCTCCATCTTCGGAACGTTTTGAGGACTAGGAACTTTTCTGGAAATGAGGGATTTCAGATCCCTAGAGTTTTGGACCATATGGCCAAGCTTTGGAGCTTTCCAACCTTTGAAAAGGGACTTAGAGCATTTGGAATGGTTCTAGAGGATAACGTTGGAAAATTTATCCTTCTAGACACCTTAGGGCTTTAGATCTAAGCCGTGGAGTCCCTGGATTCGGTGTATCATCACAACAAGCAAACAGGAAGGGGGACTCAACGAGTTGGATCGGGTTTCCCTGCCTTCTGAATATCAAGTGAACTCGTTGAGTTGATGAAACAACTCGATGAGTTGGCTAGGGTTTGATCAAGTTGTCTGGACTCGGTAGGAACTCGACGAGTCGCTATATGCACTCGACGAGTTGAGGTCAACATGGACTGTTGACTTC